GAAGGGCACCTGAGGTCTTCCTCCAACAGTAAAGCTGGAACGTCGCCATATGACCTATACTGTGTCGGTGCGACGTAAAACCCAATCAATCAATCAATCTTTAAAAACTATGAAAAAATTCTTTAATACTGATCAAACTTGGCACACATGTTTACTGAGCCATAGCATTTGTATCTTAATTTCCTGTTACCATGACAACTAGGAGACACTTCAAAATCACTATGTTGTGTTAATTTTTTCCATCAAAGCTGCAACTTCCCGATGGGTCGGGATAGAGTGAAGGGCTTTCAGCGTTGGTTACACGTTACCTTTTAAGATCGACCTGATGCCATTTTGAGCCTCTCACAATCCAAATTTTTCTTGGAGTTGTGTAGGGCGGCAGTACCACTTCAACCCCCCCCCTCCCCTCTCTTGCACCCTAAATAGGGCATGGTTTTCACTATTTGAGGCATCAAAAGGAAGGGTGAAAAGGCGTGAAAACACGTGTATATGAGGTAAAAGGTAAAACATATAGTAAAATATGTTGACCAGTTACGTTTACAGGAAAACAGTTGACCAATTAGATATCTAGGGAAATGTGTTATTTTGCCAGCATAATGTTAGTAAATATAATAGATTCTACTTCTCGCAAACCAATCAAATCACAGCTGAGAAACTAAAATATAAAAGAAATTGCTTGTGTGGTTTTTGCCGTATTTTCTTCTTATTCTATATGGTCAGAAGATTTAATGTCATGCGAAAAACTGCTGACCGTAAGTAGAATCTGCAGACCAGTCAAAAACATATAGAAGAATCTGATGACCTACAGTTAAACTTATAGTGAAAATTGCTGATCACTTACATTAGATATACAGAGAAAATTAAGTTTAACATACATTTCTTATTGTTTTACACTGTTAATATATATTAATAATTCTACATCCTACAAAACAATGAAGCCACTGATAACCAATCAAAAATATATTAGAAAAAGCAGTATTTCTAAATATTAAACAAAGCCGACCAATTAGCTTTATTATGAACTATATTTAGCATTATAGAGAAAACTTATGAATTAGAAATGAAATGCTTATTTTCATTTACACTGTAAATTTGTTTTTGACTGCAGTGAAACATATTTTCCGTATTTATTGCGTCTTGTCGGACTACTTTCTTCTAGATTCAGCCGATATACAAAATTTAAGGCTAAGACTATCAAATTGTATCAGTAATGCCAAGAATAGAAAAAAAGTAAATGTATATGATAATAGCGCAACTCATGAAATATTTATTTTCATACCACTCGATAGAAATAAATCCTGTATTTTAAGTAAAAAACTTGAATATCCTCTTATGTACTACTGACGCATTAAATATTTTTTGCATCTTTTAAATGTCAACATAACGTCATTATTTATCTGAAATCTTTCCACTTTTTTTAAGTTTCACACACTTTATTACATTTTCGTGTATTTTATATAAGTATTTCCCCTATCTAAGAATTTGATTCAATTAAAGTATCGATTTTGGCAATATTTGTCCCCTATCTTTTGATATAAAATTTAATGTTACTTTTTATTAATTTATAATTTTATTTAGACATTTTCAGTATACAAAAACAATCAAAAAAGGAAAGAAAACAAACAAAAAATCTATTGACAAAAGTAAAATTATTTTCCTACATTCTATACCGTCAGCTTATTCGTCAGCAGTTTATAATTGTCCATCGGAAGGCGATAGTCGACAATGCGATCTAACGCGATGACGACAATACGATAGTGCGATGGTGACAGTGCGATAACGGAATGACGACAATGCGATAATGCGACAGTGCGATAGTGCGATTACGACAATGCGATAGTGCGATGGCGATAGTACGATGGCGACAACGCGATAGTATTATCGCACTATCGTATTCTCGCCATGGCATTATCGCACTGGCGTCATCGCACTGTCGCCATCGCATTATCGCATTGTCACCATCGCACTATCGTATGTCGCATTATCGTACTGTCGTCATCGCAATGTTGCACTGTCGTCATCGTACTATCGCACTGTCGTCATCGCACTGTCGTATTGTCGCATTGTCTCCCTCTGGATTAGAAAGTCTAACCTCGATGGCCCTAACGGTATTCCGTAGATAACGAGTCGCTATCGACAACGCAACGTGCAAAGTGTTCCAAATCAGCCACCATACATTATAAGCTATATCATTCTCGTACATGAAATACAAGGAAAATATATAAAATAATTATTATTAATAAAATTAGAAAATATATAAAACAAGAGCCCAGTTTGAGCCGGGTGATGCTCCCCGAATAGGTTTTGGACACAGGAAAGTACACCTCTTGTAGTTTTCAGAGTTATGTCCTTGGAAAAAGTTCAAAGAGCAATAATTCCAAAATTAAGCAAGGCAGAGTTACTGTTTTTTGCACTGCACTTTTAATCAATGTGATCTATCAACTTACAAAGTTTCTTGTTGATATCTCTTATGCTTTTCGAGTGATGTCCCGGACAACTTCAAAAAGTTAAAATAAACAAAGGGCAATAACTCCAGAAATAGGCAAGGCAGAGTTATGATTCGTGTGCACTGCACATCAACCATTAAGATATATCTACCTACAAAGTTTTATGTTGATATCTTTTATAGTTTTACAGCTATGCCCTGGACAAGATTTTTCTAAAAGGGGAGATAATTCAAAAATTAGGCTTAACAGAGTTATGGATCTTTTGCACTGCACTTCTACTCAATGAGATCTATCAACCTACAATGTTTCATCTTGATATCTCTTATATTTTAGAGTTATGTCCCGGACAAAGTTCAAAGTGTTAAAATCAACAAAGGGCAATAACTCCAAAATTAGGACAAAAAGAGTTATTGTTCTTATGCACAGCACATCTACCCATTGAGATATATTCACCTACAAAGTTTCTTGTTGATATCTCTTATAGTTTTATTAGAGTTATGTCCGGACAATAGTTTTCTATAAGGGGAGATAATTCAAAAACCGGGCAAAATAGAGTTATGGTTCTTTGACACTGCACTCTCCCTCAATGCCCTCCACTACTGTATGAAGTTCAAACAAATTATCTCCAAGAGTTTTCAAGTTATGCTCCGGACAGACGGACGGACAGACAGACGGGCGAAGGCGCCGACTAAAAGCTCCCCCTAAATTTTTGGGGAGCATGAAAAAAATTAATTAATTAAAAAGCAAAACAAAAATAGAATAATTTATTCAAAGGTCTAATAAAAGTTTCACCCGTTGTGGGATTTGAGCTTACAACCTTCCGCATGACAAGGACCTTTACCACTTCTCTAACAGGCCATATATTACCTTTCAAATGTTTACCTGTTGGTGCGTTTTCGTATATGGCTTTGTCCTGCCACCCCTGTGTACTTATAAATTAAGATTTCCCATTCTCGATCATATTTGAATAGATACCGTTATGCCGGATTCCGATGATTGCCGATAAAAGGTCATTGAATATTCAAATGTCTCGGACAATATTGTCAAACAATATATCAATAATGAAAAGGTCAGAGATGAGAAGCACGGCGGAATATGCCGAATTTTCCCGCTTCACAGATTACAGACCACGTGATCATTTGAGCTAACAGGTCATTTTTGGTGGGAAACTCGCGCCGAGAAGACGTTCTTTGTGAATAGAGTAATAGAGTAAGTGTGATGATATTTTACAACTTTTGTATTTGATCGTTTATATTGTTCTTGATGTATGCTATTTTTATGTACTCGCGAGTTATAAAATATCTTTAAATATGTATATTATCCCTGTTGTTAGTTATGAGTTGAGTTGATGGTTTTTATAAAATGTGATTTGGTCAGACTTCGTGATGCGCCCGCGGTTTGTTGATATACTCGCGATTTATAAAATATCTTGATGTAAGTTATCCCTGTCCCCCCTGTCATAAGTAATGTGTAGAGTTGAATTATTGTTGATGGTTGTTGTTATAAAATGTGATTTGGCCAGACTACGTGATGTGCCCGCGGTTTTGTTGATATACTCGCGATTTATAAAAAAATATTTATGTAAGTTATCCCTGTATCCCTTGTAGTAAGTGATTGTTGAGTTGAAGTTATTGTTGATGGTTGTTGTTATAAAATGTGATTTGGCCAGACTACGTGATGCGCCCGCGGTTTTGTTGATATACTCGCGATTTAAAAAAATCTTTATGTAATTTACCCCTGTACCCCCTGTATTTAGTTATGTGTTGAATTGAAGTTATTGTTGATGGTTGCTGTTAAAAATGTGGTCAGACTACGTGATGCACCCGCGGTTTTGTTGATATACCCTTGATTTATAAAAAGAATATTATGTAAGTTATCCCTGTACCCCCTGTAGTAAGTGATGTGTTGAGTTGAAGTTATTGTTGATGGTTGTTGTTATTAAATGTGATTTGGCCAGACTACGTGATGTGCCCGCGGTTTTGTTGATACACTCGCGATTTATAAAAAAAATCTTTATGTAAGTTATCCCTGTACCTCCTGTATAAGTGATGTGTTGAGTTGAAGATATTGTTGATGGTTGTTGTTATAAAATGTGATTTGGTCAGACTACGTGATGCGCCCGGGGTTTTGTTGATATACTCGCGATTTATAAAAAAAATCTTTATGCAAGTTATCCCTGTACCCCCTGTAGTTAGTTATGTTTTGAGTTGAAGTTATTGTTGATGGTTGTTGTTATAAAATGTGATTTGGTCAGACTACGTGATGCGTCCGCGGTTTTGTTGATATACTCGCGATTTATAATTTTTTTTATGTAAGTTATCCCTGCAACCCCCTGTAGTTGCTTATGTGTTGAGTTGAAGTTATTGTTGATGGTTGTTGTTATAAAATGTGATTTGGCCAGACTACGTGATGCGCCCGCGGTTTTGTTGATATGCTCGCAATTTGTAAAAAAAATCTTTATGTAATTTACCCCTGTACCCCCTGTAGTAAGTGATGTGTTGATTTGAAATTATTGTTGATTGTTGTTGTTATATAATGTGATTTGGCCAGGCTACGTGATGCGCCCGCGGTTTTGTTGATTTGCTCGCGATTTGTAAAAAAAAATCTTTATGTAATTTACCCCTGTACCCCCTGTAGTAAGTGATGTGTTGAGTTGAAATTATTGTTGATGGTTGTTGTTATAAAATGTGATTTGGCCAGACTACGTGATGCGCCCGCGGTTTTGTTGATATGCTTGCGATTTATAAAAAAAATAAAATATGTATGTTATCCCTGCACCCCTGTTGTTGGTTATGTGTTGAGTTGAGTTGAAGTTATTAATGATGGTTGTTGTTATAAAATATGATTTGCCCAGACTACGTGATGCGCCCGCGGTTTTGTTGATATACTCGCGATATATAAAAAAAATATGTAAGTTATCCCTGCACCCCCTGTAGTTGGTTATGTGTTGAGTTGAGTTGAAGTTATTGATGATGGTTGTTGTTATAATATGTGATTTGGCCAGACTACGTGATGCGCCCGCGGTTTTGTTGATATACTCGCGATTTATAAAAAATCTTTAGGTAAGTTGTGTACTATGATTATGTTTGATATGTTTAATTATGTAAATAATAAATAAGATTTTGAAATGCCTGTATTTGTTTGCTCTAAGACCTATATTTTTGTTTTTACAGATCTACTTGCCAGGTTCTTTAAATGTTTGGTTTTTTTGCCCCTATTCTAATGTTTTGTGTTTTTTTTTGTGTTTTTGGAAACCCCCTGGAAAGAAGATGTTGGTGTTCTAGTTCTACATTGTGGTGGAGACGTGAGGATGTGGATAGCTGTGTATCATTGGTTGGAAACTGGCATGATGGAGCAATTAGGTATTTTACAATATTATACTTTAAGGATTTTTTTTGTAACCGTTTATTTGTGCCTGCATAGTATCATCTATTTAAGAGATAAAAACTGTTCAGCTAGTTCAACAAACAGTTGATAGGAATTGTCTATTGGTCTTTTAGCTAGCTAGACTGGAAGGTAAGTGGTACTACTAGGCATGAACTTGCCCTACCCTGAAACTCATTTGACGGCATGTATCTGCCATATAATAAAGCATGGGCCTTCATATAATATAAAACCAATAAAACATTGATAATTACCTGCTTACTTGCAAAGTAATTTTTAAAGACATGATAAATGTTAACATTATAAGATTAGAATGTGACTTTGTAAACCCTGGTGATTTTTCAGACCATGGAGGAGTGATGAACCGGAAGTGGATAAGACTATCAGTTCTTCGAGAGTCCCAGTGCCTATATACTCGCAAGAAGGATATGGTATGGAATAGCTTAGTACATCTATGTGCTGGCAGATTTGTACAACAATAAGTTGTTCCAGTGTGAAGAAAGATGCGTGTCATAAGGTAAACCTTGTTCTTTGATGCTATAGTAAATCAAAATAAAGGTAATGAATCATAATAAAATCAAAATACAAGTTTGGTTGAAATCCTGTGCAATTTGAGCCAAATGAATATAGAGGCGAGTATCCTGTCGGACACTTTGGAGACTAGGGTTCCATTCCATGTCTATGTTTACTTACAATATACAATTTTGTTATATTACTTATGAATAAAGTATAAATTTGATAGGCATTGTCAGTTGTAGTTGTCTAACAAGCCTACTTTTGGTGGGTCTGTAACTTTTTGTGTTGCCTCTACAGAGTAGTGGTGACATATAGGGATCACTTCTCCGTAGTCTGTCTGTCCGTGCAAAACACATGGGTGACTAGGAAAACAATAGGTATTGGTACATTTTCTTTTATTCTTTTTATTCTGTTTTACTTGTGTCTTCTTTTAAGCCTTATGTGACTAAAAATGGATAAAAAGATCAAAGGAAAGTCACATAAGTTCTTCAGTCTGTCTGTCTGGACTACTCAAAAACAACTGGTGCAATTTCATCTTAACTTTATAAGACAGATCAGTTACAAGTGTCGTTGTGCATTTTGTCAACATTTTTGGGTTCAATCATATTTGTCAGAGAAATGGCTCTTCAATGATTTTAATTTTTATCTTAAGACCAAGGAGGCAAATTTGCAAGATTGGCATGAAACATGGTGATGATGGATGGATGTGTGGATGGTCAAAGCTACTCAGTGACAGAGTATTGGAGTACTTGATGTGCATTGTGAAAGTTGATCGAGACTATCAATTCTTCGAGAGTCCCAGTGCCTATATACTCGCAAGAAGGATATGGTATGGAATAGCTTGGTACACCTCTTTGCTGGTAGATTTGTACATTTGGAAGTTGTTTCAGTGTGGAGAGAGATGGACACGGTGTATTGTACGGTAAACCTTGCTCTTTGATTTCATTGGTAAATCCCTATAAATATAATGAATTATGATAATAATTTAGAAATAAGAATGCCCTTGTCTGTCTATTTTGGGGCATATTTTCTCTGCCAATAAAGGTGGAGAGTCGCCATATAACTTGAGAACCAACAAAACAAATATAGCTTGGTGCATCTCTGTGCTGGTAGATTTGTACATTTGGAAGTTGTTTCAGTGTGGAGAGAGATGGACACGGTCAGTATGCAATTTGATAGGAATGATCTATTTTACCTAGTCTATAACTAGATAGACTAGAATATCTGTGGTTCTACCCTTTTATTTGCCCTTGTCTGTCCATTTTGGGGCATATTTTTCTGCCAATAAAGGTTGAGAGTCGTCAAATGACTTAGGAAACAACAAAACAAATATGATTTGATAAGTTATCCCTGTACCCCCTGTAGTAAGTGATGTGTTGAGTTGAAGTTATTGTTGATGGTTGTTGTTATAAAATGTGATTTGGCCAGACTACGTGATGCGCCCGCGGTTTTGTTGATATACTCGCGATTTATAAAAAAAATCTTTATGTAAGTTATCCCTGTACCCCCTGTAGTAAGTGATGTGTTGAGTTGAAGATATTGTTGATGGTTGTTGTTATAAAATGTGATTTGGCCAGACTACGTGATGCGCCCGCGGTTTTGTTGATATACTCGCTATTTATAAAAAAAATCTTTATGTAAGTTATCCCTGTACCCCCTGTAGTAAGTGATGTGTTGAGTTGAAGTTATTGTTGATGGTTGTTGTTATAAAATGTGATTTGGCCAGACTACGTGATGCGCCCGCGGTTTTGTTGATATACTCGCTATTTATAAAAAAATCTTTATGTAAGTTATCCCTGTACCCCCTGTAGTAAGTGATGTGTTGAGTTGAAGATATTGTTGATGGTTGTTGTTATAAAATGTGATTTGGCCAGACTACGTGATGCGCCCGCGGTTTTGTTGATATGCTCGCGATTTATAAAAAAATCTTTATGTAAGTTATCCCTGTACCCCCTGTAGTAAGTGATGTGTTGAGTTGAAGTTATTGTTGATGGTTGTTGTTATAAAATGTTATTTGGTCACACAACGTGATGCGCCCGCTGTTTTGTTAATATACTCGCGATTTATAAAAAAAAACTTTATGTAAGTTATCCCTGTACCCCCTGTAGTAAGTGATGTGTTAAGTTAAGTTATTGTTGATGGTTGTTGTTATAAAATGTGATTTGGCCAGACTACGTGATGCGCCCGCGGTTTTGTAAATATACTCGCGATTTATAAAAAAATCTTTATGTAAGTTATCCCTGTACCCCCTGTAGTTATGTGTTGAGTTGAAGTTATTGTTGATGGTTGTTGTTATAAAATGTGATTTGGCCAGACTACGTGATGCGCCCGCGGTTTTGTTGATATACTCGCTATTTATAAAAAAATCTTTATGTAAGTTATCCCTGTACCCCCTGTAGTAAGTGATGTGTTGAGTTGAAGTTATTGTTGATGGTTGTTGTTATAAAATGTTATTTGGTCACACAACGTGATGCGCCTGCGGTTTTGTTAATATACTCGCGATTTATAAAAAAATCTTTATGTAAGTTATCCCTGTACCCCCTGTAGTTAGTTATGTGTTGAGTTGAAGATAATGTTTATGGTTGTTGTTATAAAATGTGATTTGGCCAGACTACGTGATGCGCCCGCGGTTTTGTTGATAAACTCGCTATTTATAAAAAAATCTTTATGTAAGTTATCCCTGTACCCCCTGTAGTAAGTGATGTGTTGAGTTGAAGATATTGTTGATGGTTGTTGTTATAAAATGTGATTTGGCCAGACTACGTGATGCGCCCGCGGTTTTGTTGATATACTCGCGATTTATAAAAAAATCTTTATGTAAGTTATCCCTGTACCCCCTGTAGTAAGTGATGTGTTGAGTTGAAGATATTGTTGATGGTTGTTGTTATAAAATGTGATTTGGCCAGACTACGTGATGCGCCCGCGGTTTTGTTGATATACTCGCGATTTATAAAAAATATTTATGGGAGTTATCCCTGCACCCCCTGTAGTTGGTTATGTGTTGAGTTGAAGATATTGATGATGGTGGTCGTTATAAAATGTGATTCTGGCCAGGCTACGTGATGCGCCCGCATTTTTTTTTATATACTCACGATTTATAAAAATCTTTATGTATGTATACCTGTAGTTAGAAATGTGTTGAGTAGAAGTTATTGTTGATGGTTGTTGTTTGCTCTAATACCTATATTTTTGTTTTACAGATCTACTTGCCAGGTTCTTTAAATGTTTTTTTGCCCCTATTCTAATGTTTTGTGTTTTTTGTGTTTTTGGAAACCCCCTGGAAAGAAGATGTTGGTGTTCTAGTTCTACATTGTGGCGGCGACGTGAGGATGTGGATAGCTGTGTATCATTGGTTGGAAACTGGCATGATGGAGCAATTAGGTATTTTACAATAATATACTTTTACGATTTTTTTGTAACCGTTTATTTGTGCCTGCATAGTATCATCTATTTAAGAGATAAAAAAAATCAGCTTGTTCAACAAACAGTTGATAGGAATTGTCTATTGGAGATAGTCTTTTAGCTAGGTAGACTGGAAGGTTATAAGAATCTTACACCGGCTGTCGGTAAAGACCGGAATATCTAGCTCGAGGGTAACTGTTTACAGCGGTAACGAGGCTGTGCCGAGTTTCCGCTAAACAGTTACCCGAGAGCTAGATATTCCCGTCTGTACCAACAGCCGGTGTTTGATTCTTTTTCTTGCATATTATTGTTTGGTTTTATTAACCTGTCAATTACATACTGATTACACGGTCGATGCACACAATATATTAATCCTCGGTAGATTTTCGGAAAGTTCCGTGAGACGTACGCTGTACGATGAAATTTAATTAAATTTGTATGTAAGAACTAAGTGAACTGATCGTTATAGCGCAATAGGGTAAAGCACGAGTTTATAATCTAAGTGCCATAAATGTTTTAAGTTCGAGACCGCGATGGTCCATGTTTTTTTTTCCCTTATTAATACTTTCAACATTATTAAAGCTACACATGAATATTTTTTATGTTGTTCGTTTTGTTTTATTATGTTTTACTTAATTTTGTAAAGTCTATACTTTTTTAAATAACATGATTTAAGAATTCATGTTTAGAATTAAAACGGATTAAAATCAGTAAATG